CACGATGGATATATGTATGGATTGTGATAAGAGTTTTACAAGCCCCCAATAAGATGGTTTTCTTAAAAATGGGCAGATGCCATAAACAGACACTTTATCAAAGAAGACCTTCAGGTAGCCAACAGGCGTATGAAGAAACGTTCATGACCGTGAGCCATTCGAGAGATGCACATTGAAACAACAACCCATGCTGGCAAGGGTTCCGACACCCTGGGACCCTGGTCTAGGGCGGGTGGGCTGTGAAACAGGGAAGCCAGCATGGCAGGCCGTGCAGTGAGGGCCATGTGCCAACACTGATGGTGCTGACTGGCGCACAGCTGTAAATGTGGAGGGTGGCACGTGCAGTCTACATCTAGAGACCCTACCAGGCTCAAAGCCCCAGGGCAGGTGCCAGCAATCACGCCAAGACAGACATCTGGACCCTTGCTCTCCCCAAGTCTTTGGGGGAAACCCAAAGATACAGTTCGCTATCAAAAGAATGGTGAAACACAAGAATTAACAAAAACCTATGCTACATCACTCTTGGTGGACATCCGTAAAGCTTTCAGTCTCAGACAAACAGTGAGCCGCTCACTCTGGAAGGCACTCAAAACACTACCATGGAAGAACTGCCTGCACAGAGCAGACCTGGCTCGATGAGGTGGACGGAGCAAAGCTGCCAGTTCCTTCACTTGCTGATGAGGCAGGACTCGAAGCGAGAAGAATCAGTTGCTAACATTCATTAACAGGAAAGTGGAATGTGAGAAGTAGGAACCTGGGAACATCTCTCACGGCCATCACATCATTCCAACTCATAGTGAGCTGGCAGGACAGAGGGGACCTGCCCCTGTGGGTTTCTGAGTCTAACGCTTTAGGAGAATAGAGAGCCTCATCTTTCCACCCTGGAGCAGCTGGTGGGTTCAAACCGCTGGCCCTTGTGGTGAGCAGGCCAAGGCATACCCCACTGTGGCACCGGGCTCCGAGGAAAAAGAGAAGGCATCACAAATAGGAGGCATGAAGATGGGCAGCTATCGGTCATTTTGAACTGGTTTACTTTGCTGGGAATGAAAACTTCAAGAGATCTGGTGTTGGATTCATTGTCAAAAAGAACTGTTAAAGATTTATCTTGAAGGACAATGCTGTCTTGATAGGATAATATCTATAACAAAGATAACTATTATTCAAATTTACCCACCAACCACAAAAGTCAGTCATAAAGAAAACAAAGAATTCTACCATCTTCTGTAATCTCAAACTGATCAAACATGTAATCAAGATAAACGACTGCTTTGATGTATGGATTGTTATAAGAGCTGTAAGAGCCCCCAATAAAATGATCTTTTAAAAAAAATTACTGATTAGGATGTGAATGGAGCCCTGGGGCATTGTGGGTCTGTGCTAGGCTGTGATCGTCAAGGTCACCAGGTGCCCCTCGGAAAAACAGGGAGGGTTTTCTACACCTCTAAGCAGTGACAGTCTCAAAAACTCACAGGGACAGCTCTACCCTGTCCCCTAGGGTCCTACGAGTCAGCATCGACTCAACAGCAATAAATTGTTTGTTTTAGTTTTAAGGACATGAAAGTTGAAAACAAAGAGGAAGGATTGGTTATTGGAAAACATGGCCCTGGGGATGGGAAGGAAGCGGGCGTTACACGACACAATTTTGCAAGAGCAACAACTTCTTCACTTTAAGTACCTTTTTTCAGTAACATATCGGCAAACACACGTATGGACCTCACCAGATGGAATACACAGGAATCAAACTGAGTACCTCTAGGGGATGAAACAATGGAGAAGTTCAACCTCTTTGGCCAAAAGGCAGCCAGGGGCTGCATGTGAAACAGATCATCAATTGCTCATACGCAAGTTAAAGTTGAAGAAAATATAAAACAAGTCCAAGAGAGTCAACCTGGCACATATCACACCTGAGTTGGGAGACCACCTCAAGGGCAGATTCGATGCCGGAACACTAATGACCGCCAGCCAGGAGAGCTGTGGGGTGACATCAAGAACACCATGACTGTGATGGATGTGGATGTCCTCAGAGACTCTGCAGCTAGCTCTGGAATGGACGAGACGAAGTACCAGAGCTAAGCAAGGCGATTCAAAGAGGAGCTCATGAAGACGATTTTATAATGAAATGTGCGAAGACCTGAGTTAGAAAGCCGATGAGGAAAAACACACACTCAGTATTTCTCTAGCTGAAAGAACTGAAGAAAATATTCAAGTTTCAAATTGCAATTATGAAGAATTTTATGGGCAAAATACTGAATGATGCAGAAAACATCAAACATAGAAAAAAATACAGTCACTTCCCCCCCAAATTCAACCATGACAAAAGGTAGCAGATGGTCAAAACCCAATGGCACTGAAGGAAGAAGTCCAAGCTGCCCTGAAGGCGCCGAGAAGAAACAAGGCTCCAGGAACTGACACAATACCAACTGGAGTGTTTCAACAAACTAGGGAAGCCCTGGAAGCAGTCACTCGTCCATGCCAAGAAAACTAGCACAGGAAATGGAAAAGATCCAAATGTGACCCCCCTCTACAGAAAGATGATCAAACGATATGCAGACATTATCAAACAATATCATTAATGTCACGGGTAAGTAAAATGTTCCTGAACATAATTAAAAAATGAATGTAGCAGGAGGCTGCCAGATATAAAGTCTAGATTCAGAAATAAAGGCTAGATGACATGGAATGAGGAATATCATTACTGAGGTCAGATGGATCTTGGCTAAGAAAGCAGAGAATACCAAAACATAATTACTGCGTTTTATTGACTATGCAAGGGCATTTGACTATGTGGAGTATACGGAGCTAGAGATAACCCTGAGAAGAGCAGAAATTCCAGAACATGTAATTGAGCTCATGTGCAACCTGTACATGGACCAAGAGGCAGTTACTCAAGAACAAGGGATATTAATTGTCTGATTTAAAATCAGCAAAAGTGTGTAGGAGGACTGTATCGTTTGGCCATCTTATTCAATCTGCATGCTGAGCAAATAATCCAAGAAACTGGACGACATAAAGAATTGGGATTAAGATTGGAGGAAGACTATTAACAACTTGCAATATGCAGATGACACAACCTTGAACGAAGAAAGCAAGGAAGACTTACGGGACTTGTGGATGAAGATAAAAGACTACACCTTCAGTACAGATTACCAACTCAATATGAAGCAAACCAAAGTCCTCACAAGTGGGCCAATAAGAACATCGTGACAGATGGGGGAAAAAATTGATGTTGTCAAGGATGTCAGTTTACTTGGATCCAGAACCAATGCTCACAGAAGCAGTGGTCAAGAAATCAAATGACCGATTGCACTGGGAAAATCTAGACAAGGGTAAGAACGATGCGAGAATAACTGATGCATTTGAATTATAGTGTGAGCGGGGAATACTGAAAGTATCAGGGACTACCAAAAAAGTACACAACTCTGTCTTGGACGAAGTAAAACCAGTATGCTCCTTAAAAGCAAGGATCGTGAGACACTGCCTCACATCCTTTTGACCACGTACTCAGCAGAGGTCAGTCTTTGTGAAGTGGAGGGAACAGGAAACGGGAAGACCCTCGGAGAGATGGGGTCGCACGGTGGCTACAATGGGCTCCAACCCAATGTGAGGATTGCACAGAACCAAACCGTGTTTCTTTCTGTTGTGCACAGGCTAGCTAGGAGTCGGGACTGACGAGAACAACACCACATAAAATACGAAGTGTGGAAAAGAAAAGCAGGAAGCAGGTCCGTGTAAGCCTGTTGAGTTCACTGTGTCAAGACTTCTTGATTAAGAATTCCAGAAAGCCAGCGAGAAACCTTTATCTGGCGCTTAAAAGCCAGGAAGGGTGCTCAGACCGAGATCAGGGCATCTTCCCGAGGACGGTGAAAGTTCATCTGTCGGAGTGCACAAGACTGCTAGTGAAACCGCCAAAAGGGAAAACGGCCCTGTGGTCTATCTACATTATCACAAATCGAACCCAGCAACCCAGCAGCGTTCAGCCATGCTCACATGAACTGGAGCACTCTGCAGCTGCAGCTGCATGCCTGTTCTATGAATCGTGCTTTGATGTTTTTATAGGAGCCAGCACCTTAAGCAGTTTATTCCTGGTATTATGTTTGTAAGTATGTAAATACCATTATAAATAATGTAACCCAACAGTAATGACTTAAAATGGATATCTTTAAATGAAAGCCACGCAGTATATAATTTTAGAATAATTCTGTCAAATTTCATTTAAAATTGTGTCAAAGGCAGATTGCTGACACCAAAAATATTTGCTGGCTGGACTCATTTACTCTCTGTGAATTCCTTAATGTTCATGTAAACAAGCCCCAAATTCAGAAGTTGTTAACTCCCCAATTAACTAACCCCCCAACTAATACTTAGGAAAATTAATACCAACTAGAAAAAAAGAACTTGCCAGAATTTGTTCATACTAATTTTTTCCCCCAAGAGCAACTCGTGGGTTTGAACCACTGACTTTCTGGGTAGCAGTTCAATGCATAGTCTACTACGCACCTTTTTTAAAAAAGTAAGATCAAGTAGTTCGAAATAGACTAATTCTTTTTTTTTTTTTTTTTGAAATAGACTAATTCTTGATAAATATCAGCCCTGTATGACTACCTGATCTTACTTAGAAAGAAAAAAAATATTTTCAATACCATGAAAATTTTAATTCCATGAAATCCAAACCCATCGAGTTGATTCTAACTCAGAGATCCTACATGAAAGAGCAGAACTGCCCTCTATGGTCTCTAAGAGTATACTCTTTATGGAAGTAGCCCAGGGACCCTTGATAACTCGTTTTTTAGCAACTCAGCCTAGAGCTTGAGGACCATGTTAAGTGTGAATCCTACAACAACCCACAAAGGTAGGCACCCCTATCTCCTGTTCAGATGAAGTAATTTCTGGAGCCACTCCTGTAGAAAATGATGGACACAGAGTACAACTAACTGCCTTAATGCTGAAAGCTGTGCCTGCCCTTCCTTGTCAGCTGGTCACAGAAAAGCAGACAGTCTCACCAGCCATGCATCCAGCCAAGCCCGCATAATACTCCAGGCACTGCCACGAGGTCTCAATGTCCAACCGGGCCTCAAACACAGACTTGCCATTGTTGATGGTCTCCACGGTGGCAATTTCATCCTTCCGTTCCTTTGAGTAAAAACAGAAGATGCATACATTTAAGACCTGTTCAACACTCAAACAGAACACCAAATTTTTAAAAGCAGAAACACTGGTGCATTGAATGAAACTAAAACCAATAGCAGGGATATAGTTGGAAAAGTGACACAAGCTTATTGCTAAGACCAGAAGAAATGTATGGTGCAGGCTACCACTAGCAGATGCGCTAAAAGAGATGATACTAGGTCTTGGATAGAGTGGAAGAAAAATGTAGAACAAAAGTTAAAATTAGAAAGGAGACCAGGGTTGTGTTAGACAGGGTTCTCTAGAGAGATAAAACCAAATTGCTGATAATTTAATATATTTATTTATAAAGATAATTAGATATATAACAAGGAATGAACTGTTAAATCATATGCAGATAAATATATAATACAAGAAAGAAACAGTTAAATTATAAAGCACTACAAATGGCTCAATTCAACTCACTCCTGTGAGAGAGTTGTGAGAGACTAGCAGTCCTTCAAGTCTAGTCTGCTGCCAGATCTTCCTCTATTTATAGAGAGAGCTAGGCTATGTCGGCACAGCAGCCAATCAGAAGGCAGGTCACCAACTGCCAGCCAGGTCACCAACCACCAGTCCCCAGCTCCAGTGATGTCTTAACGGGACCCCAACTTACAGCGACACAGTCCACAGGTAGTGTAGCCTTTAACTTGAGGCACAGAATAAGCAAGGCAGCCGCACACTGGTCCGATTATCACAGAGTGAGAGACAAGAAAGGCGAGACTCACCAAGCCATTTATCTCTCTGCCCTTCAGTTAATCCCACTTGTGTTTATCAGCCAGGCAGCACAATAAACTATCTCAAGGGTACAGTGTAGTAGCGATGAAACATACAACTTTCCTCTAGTTCCTAAATGCTTCCCCACCCCCACTATCATGAGCCCAATTCTACCTCACAAATCTGGCCAGACCAGAGGATGTACACTGGTACAGATAGGAACTAGAAACATGTGGAATTCAGGACAGATGATCCCTTCAGGACCAGTGGAGAGAGTGGCAATACCGGGAGGGTGGAGGGAAGGTGGGGTGGAAAGGGAGAACTGATTACAAAGATCTACATATAACCTCCTCCCTGGGGGACGGACAACAGAAAAATGGGTGAAGGCAGACATTGAATAGTGTAAGATATGACAAAATAATAATTTATAACTTATCATGGGTTCATGAGAGAGGGAGGAGGGAAAATGAGGGGCTGATACCAAGGGCTCAAGCAGAAAGCAAATGTTTTGAGAATGATGATGGCAACAAATGTACAAATGTGCTTGACTGGATGTATGTACGGATTGTGCTAAGAGTTGTATGTGCCCCCAATAAAATGATTTAAAAAAGAGAAGAAAGGAGACCAGGCTTGCTTGTCAACAGAAGCTGGTAGCTATGCCCTTAGTGACAACTTCAGTCTGGAACTGAGCTCCTCCCCATGGCTCATTCTCAGCCAAACAACAGACCAGTCTATCAGGGAAACAGTGACCCAGTGAGGTGCGGACTGAGGAACCATGTAAGGTCCAAAGGGCAGCGCTTCCCCGAGGACAGTGTGCAGAGGTGAGGCCGGTGGGGGTGTGAACGGACACACTGTGGAGGCGAGAGATAGGGGATAGCACACTGAGAGGGCTGCAATGAACGAGATAAAACAAAATGTGCATGAATTATTCCATGTAACAAACCAGTGTTCTGCTGTATAAACCTGCACTTAATTCACAATGAAAAGTTTAAAAAGCAAAAGCTTATCACTAAACAGCAGCCCTATTCTCCCTACTGACACAAACTCAGGCCCAAACCTTTATTTCAAGGTTAGGAAGTTTTGAGAAATTGACATTACATACGTATAAATATGTATATGCATGTGTGCACAGTTCTCTTTAAAGGGTCAAAAAACAAAGTTATTACTTTGAAGACTAAGATGCACCTGACTCAAGCCATGGTCTTTTCATTTACCTCCTATGTACAAGAAATCTGGGAAATGTGTACAGGAGACTAAAGAAGAACTGATGTATTTCCATTATGGTGCTGCTCAAGAAAAACAACAAATCTGTCTCAGAGGGGGGACCAGCAGAATGCTCCTCACAAGCAACGACGGAGAGACACGTGACCAGCTGTCCTAGAGAGGGGCGGCAGGCCTGGCAAGGGCAGGGCCTGTGAAGCGTGGAAGACTGAATGAGATGGCTGGACCCCGTGCTGCCAACAATGGGACCAAATGTAGCAACTTCTGTGCGGATGGGGCCGGACTGGGCAGTGGTCGGCTCTGTGGCACACAGGGTCACTATGAATCAGAACCCTCTAGCTACAGAATGTTTGTACGGTGGCTCAATGGCCCCGAGCAACACCATGTTTGGTGTATACAGATACACAGGGAGAGAGAAGTCCTTAGGATGTTAGACAAACTAGGCCAACGTGAATGTAGCACTTAAAAGATTATACACAGGAAATGAAGCGTTTAAAACCATAAGTCTGTTCTAATACTCACCATCAACCAGTACACTTTTCAAATACTATTTCACAACTTACTAATGATAAAAAGACTTTAGGAATGAGATGATACAGGAATGAGATGAAAAGATATGACCAATAAACAGGAAAGCTAAATGATACTTTTCTTTGGCCAAAAGGTTCTCTGGTGGTACAGCAGTTAAGCATTGGGCTGCTAACTGCAAAGTCAGCAGTTTGAAACTACCAGCCAGATTCCGGAGAAAGAGAAGTCTTTCTACGCCCACAATGGTTCACAGTCTCAGAAACCCACAGGGACCATCCTACCTTCTTTTCTCTGGCCGCTACAATTCAGAATCGACTCGATGGCAGTGAGAGGTTTTTTTTGTTTTGTTTTGTTTTTATTAAATACTTTTATTAGGGGCTGTTACGTCTATCACAATCCATACATTCATCCATTATGTCAAGCACATTTGTACACAGACTGCCATCATGGTTTTCAAAGCATTTTCTACTTGGGTCCTCGATATCAGCTCATTTTCCCCCTTCCTCCCTCCCCTGCCCGCCCTCCCTCATGAACCCTTGACGTTATAGATTATTACTTTCATATCTTACATCATCCTCTGTTGCCCTTCACCCACTTTTCTGTTGTTCATCCCCCTGGGAGAGGGTTATATGTTGATCCTTGTAATCGATTCCCCTTTCCTCCCCCCACCGCTTGTTTATCTTTAAGCCTTTAAGAGCCCAGACACTATATCTTTTGATAGCCTGCCACCATCAGATTTCTTCACATTTGTTTATTCGCCCGCTTTGTCTTCAGCAATCGTATTGGGAAGATGAGCATCACAGAGAGCCAGATTATTAGAAATAAATGTCCTTTGTCTCCTGGTTCTCCCTCTATTTCCTTTTACTTTCCTTTTGTCCCGCCATCATGTTTGGCCGTCTTTCAGGTTTAGTAATTCCTCGCTGCTACAATGCCCTTCATTAAGCCCCACTAGGCATCCTACACCCTTCTCTCCATTGATTTTAGTTCACTTGTTGTTCCCTTGTCCCTGGGTTGGTTTCCCACCCCACCCCTTTTATTTCTCCCACCTCCTCTTCCCCCGTATCCCCTCAGAACCATCAGTCCCATTCTTTTAGTCTCTGAATTGTTTATTCTGCCTATTTTATCTAGATAGACATGCAAAGACATTAATAAGCGTAAGAACCAGGCAAAGCCAAACAAAACAACAAAGGAAGTCAAAGCCAACAAAGCAATGACAACAAAAAAACAAAAACAAAGTAACATCAACAAAAACAAAGCCATTGACAAAAATGGAAAAGCCTATAAATAGTTCAAAGTCGGTTTGTTGGCCTTTACAAGTGTTTTCCAGTCAAGTCTGATGGGGTGCCACACTCTGTCTCAAAAGTCTATTTTTGGTATTCCCTAGGGAGCAGTGAGTTTTTTGGAGAAAGAAGATAAAAATAATTGAATATGTAAGAAATAAACAACTGCTTGTGTGGATCCAATTTAAAATAAACAATGTGGGGGATACTTAAACATACATTAAAATTAGTCAAGCAACTGACAAGAAGAAATGTTCTCTTACTAAAAATGGTAAGCAGCTTTTAGCTTGGAGATGGCCTGAGTACAACTCTCTCCGAGGGTCCCACATCCAGGTCCATCTGACGCCAGCACCTCCACTGAGCCACCCCAAGTTTGCCTCAAGGTCATCAAAGTCGTGCTCTTGAGGTACACTGGCGGGGAAGCGGGAGGCTGGTGTCATGTCATGTCTGTACTGGTCCCCAAGATCAGCCCCTTGGCTTTGTCTCCAAAAAAGCTTGGTGATGGCATTGCCATCACTGGAAGGGGCTAAGGATGACAGTGGAAACTGACCAGGCAGAAGAGGGCCTTCTGCCTCTGCCCTGACCATCAAAGCCCTCGGGGAACCGCCCAGGGACAGAGAAAGGCAGGGAAATATTAAGCACCACTTTTGGTGAGCGCTCACTGCCCGTCATTTGCAACCCCCATCTTTAACCAGAGAACTCTCTGGAACTATGAGAGAGATCCTGGGAGTTGACTGGCCAGTCTGTGGCTGCAATGCTGACAGCCACCACCCTCAGGACACCATAGATGGCATCAATAGTAGTGTGGTGGGATGCCTACCAGTTAATAAAACTACTCAATGAAGAATCATTTGAAGCAACAGCCAAAAAAAGACATGTAATAAGGCTGACCAGAAGCAAAACAGCCAACAAAAATTTCCACAAATACAAACGTCAGGGAAAAAACTGAAGCAGGAATGCAGGAACAGTAAAAGGTATGCATGCAGTCTCTGCCTTTACGGGGCTTACTTCTAAAAGGTAAATCCAGAAAATTCTAAGTAGACATTGCAATTACTGAGTTGGCACATTCCTCCACAAAGAAGCATTGCCTATATTCAAACATGGACTAAACTCTTATTAAAACCTATAACCCATCTTCTTTTTCTGACTCTGTATTCACCAAAACCATCTTCTCTTTCCCTAGCTCTATATTCACCAAACTGTTCAACTGTCTAATCCTTA